TAGATAGATATGGGTGGCTGTGGCTCAGAAGGTAGAGTGGGTCGTCTCCTAACTGGAGGATTAGCGGTTTGATTTCTGCCTTGTCCAGCCAACACGTTGAAGTGTCCTTGAGCAAGACAGTTGCTCCCGGTGATGATACCTATGTGTGAGCATTTGGGAGTGTGAATGGGTGAATGGCCAAGTTGTGTGAAAGTGCTTTGAGTGTGCTCTAAAGCAAAGAAAAGCACTATACAAGTATAAGACCATTTACCATAGAGAGAGAGAGAGCACTTAATTTCCCATCACTTACAGTAATGTGAGTTATAAAATGTGTAATGTCTGGATTATTTACAGAGGTGAAACTAATATCAGGCTTCGACTTCCTCATTTCAATTGAATTATTTACATCTTTCTCGTCATTTCTTTTTCATGCACACATTGACAGTTACTGGTAATGGACTACTGTACATCATAAACAGTCTTGCCAGTAATGTAGTAAATGTGTGTGTGTGTGTGTGTGTGTGTATTTGCATAGCCAGCAATGTCAGGACCGATTTGAATGTTATACCAAAGGAGTGAGGAGGTTCTGGAAAAGTGAGGACATTTTGGCTGGTTCTCACTTTTCCCAGACCCTTTCACAGGACTGTTTGAGGGTCAAGACTTGGTTTTAGGGTAGAATTAGGTTTAGGTTAGCGTTATGGGAAATGTTGGGGTTAGGCATTTAGTTGTAATGGTTTAGATTAGGGTAAGGGGCTAGGGAATGCATTTTTATCAAAGAATGCCCTCACAAAGATAGCTGTACAAATGTGTACTGTATATGTGTGTATACACATATACTTGCTTGTGAGTATATACTGTATGTGTGGGCACTTATTAACTCAATTTTTTTCTGTTTTGTTGAATAAATGTGGATCTGTAAAAAACAAAGAAAAGTGTAATATATGAATATACTGTAGGCTATGTCAATTTAAAACAGCAAACGAAATGGTGTATCTGACATTATTTCATCATGTGAAAGACAAAAAAAAGCTGCTTCAGTTACAGGGTCTTGGTTTTGTCATATAGTCAAGGTTTACTATCTGAGTGGAATGGCACCATTATTAATGACTTTAGCAACAGTTTTGCCAGTCTTATTATAACCATCTTTCCTGGTCTTAAATATGCATATTGTTTTAATACACAGACCAGTCTGGGTGGATGCCTTAGTCAGAAAATGAAAGATTTGAAGAGGATCACTAAAGATCCACCCGGAGAATAAAATTAAAAAGTAAATAGATCAGTGACCTAGATTATAATCTGGTAACAAGAATCATCTGAAACCTCACTTCTTCACATTTTTGTAGCTTTCACTTGTTGCTGTTTTCCAGTACATTAAAATGTATATGTAAGTGGTTTTACTAATGGCACACAATTATTTGAAGAGAGCCTTTATTGTGTTCTCACTGAGTATGAGCAAACAGCAGAAAAAACACCCTGAAAATCATTTATCTTATTGATAATTTATACATAATATAGGTTTAACTGGAGTGATTAAGATATCAGTCATTTAAACATTAAAAATATCTATTCTCCCGACACAGACACACATTTCCATTTTTTCCCTAATGAATCCATTTGAAATTAGCAACGGTTAATTTGACAGGACTATGCCTTTAAAGACGTCCGCTGTATAATGGAAGAGTCCATTTCACTAAAAAGGGGGATTCTTTTGCTGCTTTGTGAAATTTCACAAATGTAACACAATACATACACGATGAAAGAAAATGCGCATGTTACATTTCAATTGTTCGTAACTGATATCACATCTAACTGAAAGCCAATATTTAATCGCTTTCACGTCTTAACAAAAGCGGCGTTCACCCCTTCGGGCTTTTCTATTTATAGCATCAGCTGTTGCAATACAAAGATTTGCTACTCAACTCAACGTATTGTTTCGCAGGCACAGGGAGACATGTCCCGTCTGTAGCGGTGGCTTGAAGCCGAGAAAGAGAGATGAGGTGGAATATATCGGTGTGAAGACGTCTCTTTTTTTACGTTCACGACAGCGGAGCTCATATCGGTAAGCAGCTTTTCTACTGAGAGGGAGGAGGTCGTGTGTTCACGGACAGTGCGGGCAACACCTACCGTAATGTAGCGTCAATCCCAAACTGTCAGTGTAACAACAACTTAATGTAGCCTAGCTAAGTGTCACCTAAGTGTTTAACTAATGCCAGCGTGATAAACGTGCAAGAGAGGTTAGCATGCTTTATTAAAGTTTATAACGACAGTTTTAACTTATTTTCGTTGCAAACTTCAAGAGAGAAATGAAGCAACCGAAACCTGTTATTCAGGGGCGGCTGCACTTGGTTTTCCACGCACACACGGAGACGGGCCTTGCCTCCTTGTGTCAAAAATGTTTCCGTGGGCACGTAAGAAAAAAATAGTGCCTGGCTTTTCTGGCCTGACAGAACTGAATATAAAATGTTGTATTATGTATGTGTATGTTTAGTCAGAGTATTTTTAACAGCTTTGCGCCCAGTGGTGTCCAGCTGTGAAGCAGACATGTACACATTTAAGCGTTGGAGAGACAGAACAGAGAGATACCTCATGTATCAAATTATAGGATGAGATCATTCAGAAGCACCAGTCAGTCTGCACACGCACACACACACACACACACACACACACACACACACACACACACTTTATCCACTAATAGCAAAGTAAATTGTGACCTTTAACGAAGGGAAATCAGCTTTTAGATGACGTGCAACAGTTGTGGTTACCACCCAGGACCTTCTGTGTGATCTGTTTGGGCCTGGTTTTACCCCTTATGAAATAATGATCCATGTGAGCTTAAAATTGGCACTTGCACTTAGAAGACACCACAGATATTTTAAAGGGGGACAAAAAGGTTTGGCCATAGTGAAGAAAAGAAGACTTGTGACCAGAAGCTCAGAGGTTTAATAATGTGGATGCCCTGTTAAACTTAAGCCTAGTACAGGCAGTAGCAAAGTAAATATCTCCTAAACTGCTCACGAACAAATGATGGGGCATTCCACCTTACATGTGTGAATGTACAGTCAGGTGGCAATTTAAACTGTGAATGAACTAGTGGTCTCTTCCAGGATGACAGTGCCTCCATCCATAGGGCAGTGTTGCCACATTGTTCTCTGTTTAATTTCTTACTTTCTTCTCTTTTCTTTCTTTCTTGTTAAAGTGAATGAATATTGAATGAAAACTGAATATTCTGCTGGCCTGCTGAGGGGTTTAATTGAATTATTTACCCCTTATATATATACTGTATTTGTCAGTGTGCAGTGTGTTTACATACAACAGGTAGTCAGTCGTTGATTCAGTGTCAGTGATGTTTTGGCTGGGGTTCAGCCATGACATCCTGTGACCTGGCCGAAATTCCCCAAAAGTGCACTGTCTCAGTGAATGAATGTTGAGGAAAGAGTAGGAAATGCCCCCAGTGAGTTACAGTGAGCTACAGTGAGCTAACTGAGCTAGTGAGCTAATTGTGGAGCCTCATCCACAGAACAGTGTTATATTATGAACAAGACATCAGTGCAGTTTAAATGCAGCTAAGAGTGTTGTAGTCAAGACATTTTTGTAGGCCAACGTGGAAGGTAGCATACCAGGGGTTCCTTCAACAAAAAGCCAATGGGATTTTTCCATAGACAGACAAGGTTTATGCCACTTACACACTTGGTTCAACAAGATAATCTTCACAGGTTAATGCCACTTTTATGATTTAAGAAGTAAAATGCTATTGTTAGCCTATAAATAAGCTACACCATGGTCCTGTGACTTAAGTGTCACCATCACTGCTTCCAGTTTATAATCTGATTTAGCATGCTAAATTCTTCGACAAACACCTTTTCCTCTTACTGTGACCGGATCTAGCTAGTGATCACAGCTGTGTCAGTTAGTTATTATAGTTTGCAAGTGCAAGAGTTTAAACATAGCAAGGCTGTAAACATGGACTAGTGAGTAGATGAGCTTCTGTGTTCGACAGGATGACTTAAATCTCATTTAGCCACTTGTTAGCAACTGCATTTTTAAGATGCACAAAAGCATTAAAAATTACAAGTGGGCTGTGTATTTTATCTTGTAGAACAAAATGTGAAAATGTATTGGCCTTGTGTTGGCACAGACCTTATTTCAGGCATCTAACCAAAATCCCATTTGAAAAGCCCACTGACTTCAGGGTGAGGGAAGCAGAAGTGCAAAAATGCTAACTCAGGTCCGGTTTTAGGACTCACTACTATGGCTCTCTAGTAGGTTCTCAAATGATGCTATAAGACTTGAGCCTTCCATGTTTAGTCACTGATGGTGACCCAGAATCATGTGATTTGCTGTACAACTATTTGTACTTTGATAAATGTGCAGGGCGGTAAAGCTCTGGGATATGAAGGCTGTCACTGTTGCAGGAAATGCAATGAGGGGTGCAGCTGATAACTCATTTTTAATAATAAATTACCTGAAATTATGGCATTAAATCACAGATTTTCTATTGCTATGTTCCTGTTTAAGATACAGTGCATAACAAAGTCTTTGTTGAAAGACATCTGAAAACATTATCATTAGCATAGCCTATTGCTGCTCAAATACTGTAATCATCAGTTTGAAACACTGACACAGGAAGGATGCAAGCATGCACAGTAAGACGGGCTCAGTTGGGCAGATTGCATCTTACTGCACATTATGTTTGTAATTGAGTGAAGAAGATGCTAGAGATATATTGTTTTGAACAGGAAATATCTTTTAAGTGAATGTGATGCCGTTTTGGCAAGCATGGGGAAATATGTGTAACGTGTATCAGAATCTTTTTACTCATTGGGGAATATTGCCAATATTGGTGTTGGGGGTCCTTTTGTAGTTTTCTTAGTTTATTGATGCTCTTTAGTGAATATTTTAGTTAACTAGGTGACAAGAACCACAACCTTGGATCTGCTAAGAATAAAAACATTCAGTATTTAGGCAAAATCATTTTTGGTTTCATAACACAAATGTCAGTTCAGGTCACAAGACAAAAACTAAATTGGGAGTGATGCCAGACTGCAGTTTGTCACAACAGCAGCTTGAAGCTTTAATATATTTTGAACGGAGTGAACTATGTCTGAACACATCCTTTGACTGCTCAGTGAGACTTGGTATCAGCGCTACACTTCAGGCTGGGGTGTGCACCATTGTGTCCCTCCTTATTCCTGTTCTGTGACTTTTGTTGCTGCTTTGTTTCCATGTGAAGAAGGAAGTCCCTCCATCCTTTCTCAAGGCAGCAACTAGCCAATGGCCCAGAGTGAGTTTATGGAGTCACCTTAAAGACAAAATGTACAGTTCAAAACGTAGGTCCACACACATATGTCAGGCTGATGTGATGGTAGTGTGTTTTGGATTTAAGGTGTGATAAACAGCAGTTTTGAAAACATTAAATAGTGTTTTCAGAAAGTTGGCCTCTTACATGTAAAAAGCCGACACAGCAAGACGAAGAGTTGTCCCACAGACTACATCTCTTAAGCAGGTGGTGACTGGCCTGACCATTTTAACACAGAGGGACAGGTGAAGTATCTGTCTGGTCTTTGCAAGTTAAATCTCAGTTTGTTGCCATTTTCTGTCAGAGTTATCTTTCTCTGGGTTTCAGTACACGGTAGCCAACCATATAGTGTCTTTCATCAGATGTGTACACAGGGATGAAAATCATTGGAGCTTGAGTTGCCTGGTGACAGCTGAACACAACTGTGTTGTAAATACTTCACTCCTTTTGTCCACAATACAAGCTGGGCTTTCCCAATAAATACCCCAAATTTTTCAGTGGTGGAAAATGCTAGTTCAGTATGATGGAAGGTCAAAACCTAGAGGAAAAGATGCACATTTATAAGCCCTAATGTGGACAATGTGGCTTAACCACTGTGTAATACTGTGTGTCCTTTTAGTTGGCCCGCTCTAACGTCATAGTTTGTAAGGCCAAATGGCCTATTACATTGGTTAGATGACTAACTTTGGTTGGACATGTAGGAAAATTTGGTTTCGCAAGCTTCCACTCCCAAATAAATTTGGTTTAATGGTGTGTGCGGATTACTTTAGTCTCGGCGTGGTGAGTGGTGTTCCAGAGAACTGTGCACCCAACCAAATAGACTCAAAAGAGGAAATGCTGACACACCCCATGAGCCCTGACTTGGCTTCAGCTAAGCCTTGGCATGCATGACTGGTGTGAAAACCACAACTGGTGGCAGGTACTACACCATACTTGTCCAGCTGTTGTGTCTTTTGTTTTCTGCGCAGTGCTGACAATATAAGATGGTGTCTTCTGAAATGGGATAATGGCTTAGCTGTTTTGTGACTCTGCGTCAATCTGCCAACTGACTGAAGAGGCTTTTTGACAACAGGAATTTGACTTTGATATTTTTTGCCCAACCTGCCAGACTGATTTCTGCAGACTGATTGATTGGCTGGCTTTAGAAGGAAGGAAACCTCTTCCTTCCCTCCATTGTGCTGGGTAGGAAAGGATGGACTACAGCCAGCTGACAGCTGTTTCCTGGTGGATGGAGGAGGAATGGGTGCGTGGGTGATGGGGATATTGTGCTAGAAATAAGTGAATTTGTGCACTTTTCTGTCTGCTATAGTCTAATGAGATCTATAAATCTGGAGGTTTCACAATAAGATGGGATTTCTTCAATTTCACATTAGTTTGGCTTGAATGTAATGATTTTATTAGTGGTGTGCATGTTTTAACCCACCTACTACAAAGTGCATATTCAGTAAATCAGCACTACCATCAAAATGGTTTTTAAAGTAGATTTCCTACCTTCCAGGCAGAAATGTTAATGTAGAAAATACTCGTGTACAGACTGTGCATAATTTATCATAGTGAACATTTTCTTTTTGTGGATATTAAAAGGTGTTGGTGAAGTTTTCTTTCCAGCCTTGATTTGTTTAATTCGTTTCCTTCTTCATAAAACATTTGTTAAGCTGATTTTTTTTTTTTTTTTTTTTTTTTGGAATGTTATAAAGCCTGGATCATACAGGTACCTTTAGGTTAAGTAATGTATTTTGATTGATCATTTTGCTTTGGCCTGGATTTTACTTTTCTTTACATCTTTAAATGATGGATGAGCAACATGTCTAAGCACAAACCTGTAGAAGTATACATTTAGATATCTAAGCTTAGCAGGATCATTTGACTGTTGACAGCTGAGAAATAAAGTCGGACAGTGGTGTTAAATCATTCTATTTGCCCACTGAATGAACAGTGGGGAGGCAGTGTTGTCTAAAGATCAACGTAGTGCCATCATCTCAACACCATGCTGTAAAATATCAGCTGTGTCCTCATACGACCTTCCTTCCTCTGCCTTCCTCTTCTGTTTGCGATTTCTCTCAAACTCCTTCCAGTTCTCTGTTCTCTCGTTCCCATCCCATGTCTTGTTCTCTCTCTCTCTCTCTCTCTCTCTCTCTCATAGGTTTGCCGCCAGCTGTGGTGTGAGCTTTAGCTACAACAGCATAGGATTGCATGACCCGCAGTAAATCATTGCCCTTAGTAATTTGAACCACACATTTGTTGCTGTATTAAAGTTTGTACTGTACAGCTGTTCCCCTGAGGTGAAGTACAAAATGTATCAGAATTATGTGCAAATGATTAAATATTCTAATGAGCTTCACTGCTGGCTCTGTGAGGCTGGGAGAGTACATGTCATTATCTGGTTTTTGCTACTGCCGTAGGCCAAAACATGCTTACTGAGGCTTGCTGTAGTCACTTTTCCATACATTTGTGATACCTGTACTGTGATCAGACTTCAGAGCAATGATGCAGATTAAAGTGCAGACACCTTTCTATACAACAGGACAACAGGCCTGTTGTGGACTCTGTCTTTTGGCCTCTTTCTCTATTTTTTGTATTATCCTTAAAAAAAAAAAAACTTTCAGCTTTTTACAGCTCGTAGTTGTGGTTTGTTATCTCCATGGTGATGTGAAAAAGTAGCTGCAATAAAAAAACATTAACACCTCTCTCTCTTCTTCTCTCTCCCTCTCTGTACGTTGCTCCCTCCTATCTTTGTTGTCAATCCCTTTTTTATTTTTTTTTCTGCCTTGGTCCTCCATTACACCCAGGTGTGTCTCATCAGCTACCTACTAATCTACTTCCGACCTTTACCGCCACTGTCGAGGTAGCCATGGCGACCAGCGCTGTGCCAAGTGACAACCTGCCAACATACAAGCTGGTGGTGGTGGGGGATGGTGGTGTTGGGAAGAGTGCCCTCACCATCCAGTTTTTCCAGAAGATTTTTGTGCCAGACTATGATCCCACGATCGAGGACTCGTATCTGAAACATACAGAGATAGACGGGCAGTGGGCAATACTGGATGGTGAGTTGGAAAATTATATGTATGTGAAATTAACCCAGCAGCAGCTGAGAATGACCATTTCTCGCCATGCTAATCATCTGTTTCATTTATTGTTTCATTTTGGTTTCATTTGAACGTGTCCATTACTTACCAGTGAATGAACATTTGTATTGGTTTAAAAAAATGTACCTTTTAACCACATTGCTGTGGTAGCTCTTTTGCACAATATCTAACTGTGCAGTAGCAATTCTCTAAGGAAATAAATGATTTGGAGAAGGCACTGCTATTGTTGTTGCATATGCAAGAAATTATGTGTCTGAATTTATCCCTTCCCCAGTAAAGTACTCAATTTATGTTGGAAACACTCTGGAAACTATTTAGAAAACTGTATAAAAAAAAAAAAAAATCTGTTTTACACTTTATGGGAATGCATGTCTGTGTAAATGTTTGACATCCTGTTATTGACAACCACTGACATATACCAAGGCCTGAACATCTCGGTTTATCTGGCACACTTTTATACTGTATAAGGGCAGCCAGGACCTGAGGCTGGCACTCCAGGAAAGATCACAAGATCGCTGGGTCACCAAGATCTACTAGCGTCTTTCTCTTAGGATTATGAAAGCCCTTCACACAAGTTGTGGAGCAGAGTTAAAAACTCATATTCTGGCCCTTAAAACACAACAATGGAATTACCCAAAGACTGGTGCAGTGACTTCTGGGTCATTTTATATTCATTAGTAAATTAAGGTAGCTGCACATTTCTGAGGGATCCGACTGATCACATTTGAAATAAGTCTTTATCACTGCTTTGGTAGATCTTAGCGTGCTTGGTATGTACCTAATTGATTCTGTAGATGGTGCAACATGAACGGCCTAAAGAAGCAGATTACCCTTTTCACTGAAAAGCCCACTGGAAATATTTGGGTGTTCTGTATATTATATAGGAAAAGTTTTACAGTTTTGTCAACTGTAAAACTTACATTAGATATACTGTCCATTCTGCTCAAAGCCAGTGTCAAGCACTGTACCTATATCATCTGAGCATATTTTGAAATAATAATAATAATGCGATGATGCATTTGTGTCCCTCCATCTCCATATTTGCAGTGCTGGACACAGCAGGCCAAGAGGAGTTCAGTGCAATGAGGGAGCAGTATATGAGGACAGGAGACGGCTTCCTTATCGTCTTCTCTGTGACAGACAAGGCCAGCTTTGAACACGTTGACCGATTTCATCAACTCATACTACGGGTCAAAGACAGGTAAGGAGAGATGGCACGCAGTACGGACCAAGACACACAGCTGGTCATTTTTCTGTATGTGAGAAAATGTTTAGAAATGACACCAGGCCAAGTAGAGAACAGTAAAGAACAGTAGGTCATTTAGTGTAGGAGAGGTTTTGTTTGGCTCCAGCCCTTTTTTAATTACTGCACATCTTGTATGCTATGACATCTGCTTAGCTTCCCCTTTTTAAAGAAGATGCATTTTCACACCACTTGTCTTATTTTTATCCTTTTAGTTATTTCTGTTGGCTATGTCAGCATTATACTCACCAAGTGCTGAGATCTAGGAACACACTTACAAAAGTTCACTTCAACCATTGTATATATTACAAAAAAGAGCAATAATAACTGTGCATAAGATGGGGTACAGGGATCACACCAATGGAGCTTTCATACAGTCTAAATTGTTAAAATGTTTTGATTTAGTGGGATATAAGACTGCTGTGTTTATGTATAAAGCCAGGAACAATTTATTACCTGGTGGAATTCAAAAACTATTTAATGAAAGGGAAGGGGGATACAATTTAAGGGGTCAGTTAAATTTAAAAATTCATGCTATAC